AACATTTTGGGACACCCAGGTTAGGTCGTGTGTGAGGATGTGAGGTGCGGAAGGGGACAGAAATCTGAGAAAGGAATGTGTAACTGATCCAGCTGGTCCAAGGCCCAGGAAATGCTTGTGAGTGCACAAGGACCCTATTACACATCCCTTCTAATACATTAGAAGATGTATTACATCTTGTAATACATCATCTAGACACTATAATAATTTTGCCTCCAACTTCAGAAATTTTGGGAGAGTTACCCTAGTCTGCAGGGTAACCTCCACTACCTCCAGGGAAAACTCTTTAGCAGGAAAGCAGCAGCGGAGAACAAATCTACCCTAAGCAGCTCTCTCTCCTCACTGCTGCAAAAATCACAAAGTCTTGTCCACTCTTTAAAAGAGAGTTTAATCCTTTCTTTCCCCATGCTACTCAACACTGGTCACCAGATGAGCAGATGCAACTGTCTACACTGGTTTTACTCTGGCAGCAGGACAATGGCTCATCTCACTGCCTGAGGACTCTGTCAGATGGCATCCAGCTATCACACCACTCGTCACTCAAACTCCAGCCTGTCCACAGACAGCAGCAGAGACAGGGACCTGCGATGCATACTCAGCCTCTAGCTCATATTATTACATAGCCAAGGTTATGACCAGCAGAAGCAACTTAAAGCATCTGTGAAGAATTCAGCGTTCACAGCACTACAAGAACAGGGCTGCTGCATTAGAATGATTTAAATCCCTTTGGCCTATCAGAACTGCACTCGGTGACACAATACATCTCTCACCATGTCTTTGCCATTGTCTAAGTTTTCCCAGCATTTCCTTTCCCTTCCCATCTAAATTTGCCTACAGAAATATATCAAATGTAATGGTAGATTTTTGTCATTTAGATATACATGCCTCTCTTGTTCAGTGAATATACAGCTCAATATAAAAGGCATTCCAAAAAATGGGTTAAAAAACAACTAGACCACATCATCTTTCTCATTATGCAAGTTGCTGAGAAACACAGGAAAAGTGAAAATGCTGTCACTCCATTATTTCCAGCACTTAAGCAGATAAAAGACAGACAGGAAGGTTATGCTTCCCTGAGTGTTTTCATTCACAGTGTTTTAGGCCTCATTGAAGTGATATGCCTATTTTTGTTAAGACACGTGCTTTTCAGAATAATGTGTAAACTCAAGCCTATGTGTGGTCATGAGCCAAGGTGGCTGGCTTGACATTCAGACGGATCACTTGTGAAAATGACAATCACCATTTGGCAATTTTTTTGCTGGAAGAAGAAACTTGACTTGATTGACAATCTGAATATACAAATTAAACATAACTCTAGTCAAATTCAGTGTAGAATACTGAATTTGAGTATAATAGAATTTGAGTAGAATAGAGGGTAAAATAGGATTTAATGGCACTTTTAAGAAGGTCAGAGTTGAAAATCCTAAAAACAAGTTTAAAAAAAAGAGAAACCAAAGTTTCCAGCATTTACAGGTTGATAAAACTACTCCTGTGGTGCCCAGGACTTATGAGCACAATTTGCTGTACTGCAGAACAAGTAATGCTGCAGGATGTGAGGTTGCATTACCAAGAAATGAGATCATGAATTGGCTGTGACTGAGACAGGTGAAAATAGATGTTCACCTATAAAAATTCAAGTGTACTCTGCATTCTGCAGTCAAGACTGACCACACTGTTTTCTCATCATTTCTTTCTGCTATTCTGGAGCACTTGCTTTTAAATAAAATCTATCCTGCTATCAAGCTACAAAGCAATATAAAAATGTATGCCACATGTCCCATTAGCAAGATGACGCATTGCAGAGTGTATGATGGGAATCTTCAGGGAATACTTTGGGATTAGAAGTGAAATACTGCACAGATGGGATTGCTGGGTAAGGGAATTCCCTCTGACCCACAAAGGACTCAGAACATTTAGCGCCTTTTACATCAATAGGCAAGATCAGGACATTTTACCTTGTAAATATTTAAGGTACGGACAAAAAGACATGATGTACTTTTTTGGGGGTTGGGTGTCCTTCCTTTTGTTCCGTCTCACCTGGGGGATTTTTTTGCCCATTAGTTTTGGGGAAACCTGATTGATGCTTGAGAAACACAGGGAGTTTTGGCTGGGCCCAGGTGGGAGGGCAGGGACAGCTGAGGGCTGGCTGGTTTCTCGGGCTAGAGAGTGAGATGCTCCCTGGGAGCTGTTGCTGTGGAGAGAAGGGAATTTCACCATCACCCAGATGGAGGTGCTGCTTCTTCTCCTTCTTCCTTCTTTGTTTGTGGGCCTCTCACCCCCTGTCCTGCTGGGACGTGTGGCAGTGCCAGCCACCGCCGCGGAGCTGCTGATACATCTCAGCCACCGGCCCAGGATCTCAGCTCATCCCTGCTGTTCCAGCTGAGTGCTCCTCAGAGTCTTGGCAGGAGCACCGGGACTGCCTGCCCGAGGGGGTTTGTGAAGCAAAACCTCTCCTCCATCCCTTCCCATCTTGGCCGAGAAAGCTGTCACGGGGTCCCTGGTTCTGTTCTGTTATTAACGCTGTAGTTATTGTTGTTTGTTTGCCTTGTTGTACATACTAGTAAAGAACTGTTATTCCTATCCCCAGATCTCTGCCTGAGAGCCCCTTGATTTCAGAATTATAGTAATTCGGAGGGAGGGTCTACATTTTCATTCCAGGGGAGGCTCCTGCCCTCCCTAGCAGACACCTGTCTTCCAAACCAAGATAAATTGAAAATCTGAAAAGACGGGACAGCTACAGAGACAAAAAAAATAAAAATGTGCAACACAAGTATCCAAGTACCAAATATTCTGTAAATGTAGGGAAGGTGAAGAAGTATGCAAACACTGAATGGAGAAGAATGGAGTTGCCATGCAAGTTGTTAGAAGCTAAAGATCAGGCCCCACTTCTCCATGATAACCTAAGACTGAAGCACAGTTATTCTTTGCATACACTCATTCTCAAACATCAGCAGTTAAAAATCTTGATTTGCTCTCCAGCAGATTACTAGAGCCACAGCATTGTCTGCTGTTGAAAACCAGATAATACAACTTGTAAAGCTAATAAGGTTCTCAGACAAATTCCATGTTCATGGTAAGATTCTGTGCTTTCCTATCATGGCCTGTGTATCATTGTTGTCTTCAGTATCAAGGGATCAGGACCTAAAGGATTTGCAAAGATACAGAGGGCAGGGCTATGCTAACTCCAGCTGAATTCCAAGGTGAGATAGACATGACATGTATGCCCCCACTTGACAAAGGTCAGTGCAAGGTATTAGTACCATGGCACCAAGCTCATTGTTTAAGTATTCCAGGAGTAGCTTCAGGTTTCCTTTTACATGATTGAGTCTAGCCATTATTTTCAAGCTTGGAGTTGGATTTTGAAATGCCTGCACTGAACTTCTGTAGGAATCTATGAGGCTCTTTATGACGAAAGATCTCTGTTCAGCTCCCTGCCAATCTAATAAGCATTGCCAAAGCTTTGGCATTTCATAAATCAGCCAGATCTGTTATATTTAAAAAGGAGACAATGATGGAGTCCCAGAACACAATTTGCAAGGTCCCACAGAAGACAGGTCAGGTGCCTCACAGAAAGGTCTCTACTGATTTGCCTAGGGTGTTCCACAGATCCCAAATGATTTAGGCTCCACACAATCTCCACAGGGCTCTCTTTTTCCAATGTTCCACTATCCTTATTTTTTTGCCTCTTAATAAGAAACATGAACTTGTGTTGTTGCAGTTAGATCCTATCATGTCTTGTCATAACCACCACAAACAAGATTAACCTGTCCTTTTAAGAGCTCTTGAAGACCTGTTTCTCTCAGACTTTATTTCCCTCCTGTTTAAAGTGAAAAAAATTATTTCAGTCTTTCCATAGTACTGCTTACTATATTCTTAGTCATATCTTATGCTCTTTATTAAGACTTTCATTGTTCTACCATTTTTTGAAGCAGAATGCTTAACAGCAGACAGTCTTCCAAGGTAAGGCTTTGCATATGCTCACAGAAGCAAAAGAATTCCTTCAGACATCTTCCAAGCTTTGGAGCCACTTATACCTCACAATATAATTTCTCTGCAAAACCATAGATTCATCTGTTATTTCCATGCCAAGGCCACTGTTTCCACTTATAGCAGTGAAAGGTTGGAGTAGCTGAAATTTGGCAAACGAGTGTTAGCTGGTGGTCTTCACTCAGGTCCACATTGACTCCCGTACACTCCATGGGCACAGAATATGGGACCATATTAAGCGGTCCACTACCGTACAGCATCTATTTGCTCATATTTTCCAAACGTGTAGGTGGGGACTCCAGAATCAACTGGCTAAATCTTGTACCATCTACATTTTCTACAGGAAGTCCACTCTTTTAAGACTACTAAAGAAAAGCTCCTGTTGCCTTTGCCTACTTTTCACAACCACATTTCAGCCATCTCAGTGGTTTACTGATCACTTTCACAAATACCATTAATACTAATTTTAGAAAAAAAACACTTATGCTGAAACACATGACCATGCTAACATTCACATTGTTTCTTCTTCTAGAGCATGTTTTGCACCAAGCACTTTAAAAATATTAAACCTTACAACTTCTCTATGAAAAAACATTTACATTTCTTTTAACAGATGGAGAAGCCACAGCATAAGTCAACTGCCCTCTATCAGAGACACAGAATGAACTGATGGCAGTTTTAGACATCAGTTCTTTCTTATACTAAGCCCATTTATGTTGAACCTGCAGACATGGACAGCTGTACAGTGTTTTTCAACCCACAGCTATGCACAAAATCCATTTTTCTCCTTGGTAATGAGAAAAAAACGCAAAACAGAAAGAACAGCACTCAATACCAAATGTACACCCCTCACCACAAAATGCAATCAGAGACTAAAATGAGAGCATTGTCCTTTCAGAGCTGCCTGGCGGCACCGACTCCCACAACACACATGACTACACATTCAAACATGTAATCCAGATCCACTCTTTCAGAGGAAAATGTGCCCTTTCGGAGCCTGGTTTGAACCTTACCTTTCCACATGCTACCATGGACAGGGCAAGCTGGTACCAGAGGTGAAATTCATCAAATGCAAACTTCATGGCTCTCTCCAAGCACTGAGAAAGAAATTATGAAAGGACTATCAGACTTTATTTATTTTCCTCCTTACACCTTTTGTCAAGATTGCTGCTTGGGTCAGGAAATAATCTGTTGTGGCCCTGGGGGCCCAGGAGATTTTTTTTTTTTTTTAACGACACCATTTATACTTCTCAGCTAATGGGACTTGCTAGTGCACACCATCACTTCAAAAGGCAGACACTTAGTTCAAGTGCCCACATATTAATTACATTAATGTCTCAAAGAGGTCTGTGTGCATTTCTGGCCTGTGCAGCCATAGCTCTGTAGCTGTTTCTGCTAACTAGCACACACCTTTTTCACCCTTCCCAACAAGCCACCACAAAGAGGGGCTTTGCCAGCGTGTTTGGAGGGGCAGAGGCCGAGGAAGGTACCTCAGACAGCATCACATACTGCCCTCTTCTGCCCAGCGTGATGCTGAGGAGATCATAGACTGCAGAAGCATCCCGAAGACTGACGGCTCGGTCATCCTGCTGCTCTGGAGCTCGGCTGATCACTGCGTCCCGGTTCGCCTGGGCACACACACAAGTGAGGCATCAGAAACCAAGGGAGCAAAACAAAATTGACTCCTCCATAGGAAGCTACAACCATCATCACTCACAGCATTGTTTAAAATCATCTCAAGTTTTTTTTCTTTTAAAAGTTTATCCCAACATAAGGAAGGTATTTCCACAGAGGTGTTTTCTACCCATATGAAGCAAACTCAAGAAGATAGCTGTATCTACAGGAAGGAACTGCTACACATATTTTATTTGGATTTTTGTCACAGAATTAGAGCATTATGAGTAAAACCTACCACATTCCATTTCCTCAATAATTAGAAATTCAAGGCCATCCTTAAACCATCTTCCTTATTTTCTCAGTAATTAGAAGTGCAAGGCCATCCTTAAAGCATCTTCCTTATTACCTCAATTGCCTGCAACTGTTGTAACTGGTTCCAAGGTTGATAATTTATCTTCAGTGTCTAAATTAGATTTCCTCACAGTAGCATCCATTTTTATTGTTCTTTTCTGCTACTTAGCTTTCATTTTTTAATATGAGCAGGTTCCCTAAGTAATCAGATTTGCCTGCCATCAACTTAAAGCAATTAAAGGTTTGGGCAACTTAATAGCAAATTTTTTTAAAAATATATTAATTTTGCTAATATATCAGTACACTGCTGTCCCTAGATCAGGAAGAAACATTACTTTTGACAGAAAACGATCAGTTCAGCAATTTCTGAGGATGTTCAAAAATACCACATGCCACAGACTCACCTTTTACCTCAAAATCCCAGCCCTTTGCGCTTTTCTGAGCAGAAAGAGGGAGATTACAATTCCAGAGTAAATGGAAAAGTGCCTCTGTTTTCCAGACATAGAGGGCCTCACCCACACTGCCCAGCCTCTGGGAGAGGCAGTGCTGGATGCACGGAGCCTGAGCACCACCTGATAGCACAGACACACTGCCCTGGGCTACCCAGCTGAAAGGGGTGCAACATCAGACACACAGGTCTCAGAAAAATTAAGAAAATTGCCAGCAATTTCACCTTGAGTGAAGACAAACAAAATGTTCTCTCCTTGAAACAGGAAGGTTATGAGATTTATTTTACAATACAACTATAATCCTACATCTATTTCTTTCTAATTGTGAGATTTTTTTTTTCCTTTACAAGGTTAAACATGGGAATTAAGCGTAATAAAAATTTCTAGAATATGCAGCCCTGAAAGCCCTTGGATTTCATTGTGATTAAGCTGCAGCTGTTTCATCATGATTTTATCTGTGCAATGCCCCAGTTCCAAGCACTCTTCATCACAGCCTCCAGCCGAGCCTGCAAACACAATTACTGACAACTAACACAATCTCAACCAAGAACTAAATGGTGACTGCAGTTAAAGGCAAGCTGACATATCAGACCCAATCCATTGTTTGCACTAATAAACTTACACCAACTCCTGCACCCACAAAGGCATTTTTCTTTTTCACGCTACAGCAAAAGACATAATTCCTGATTAAAAAAAATAGTTCAGAACAATAGAATGCATGACAGAATGAAACCAGTTTTAAAAATTTTGCAACCAGCATACAGAGGCATAGCTTGTCTACCTTTATTAGCAGAAATAAAAAAAAACAATAATAAAATAAATACATGTTTAAGCTCTGTTTGGATTTAATATAAGACTGCTACCTTAAAAGGAAAAAAGGAGTTAAGTAAAGCCATATACTGTATGATCCTTATTGCCAAGAGAACACTCTCACCTATATACAATAGCATTAACAGTTTTTCTGCACCAGTTACATTGTTAAGACAATGTTTGTAGCAAACAGCTACTGAGATAGCGCTGGGATGCTCCGTAATCTCGTCAACAACCTCCCATTGCAGTCAGCTATAGCCTGATGCTTTCTGGGGTATCCATCAAGTACCAAGCTATGATTTTCAAGTGGATGCATTAGCAGAGATAGAAAATTAATCAGAACCTATGACTGTCCATCACATTTTGCCAGATACTGGTACTAGAATGAAGAACACACCCCAGTCCTGCAAAAGTACGAATATAGGGCATATTACAAGGATGCAATATTCTAAAATTGCAGTCATACTGAACATATTCTGTATATCATACTTTATCCAAGCAGACAGCAGTTAAATGCAACATATACATAGGCATGATGAACATTCTTTCTAAGAAGGGCATAAATCTGCTGATTTTGTTCAAGCTTTCAAATCTCAAAGCTGTAGAAGGTCTTTGTAATCTACCATTCTCTATGCTTCCATGCATAAAAGTTGCCACAAGCAAATTCACTGTTACTTCTAGCTCAACAATTTCTTCAATACTGAACCTATTCCCAATTGCTAATCCCACCTGCTCTAAAAAATAAATCAAGAGCCCACCTTATAGCAGAGGTTATACACAGGTTATAAAAACCCCACAAACCCCAAAACCAAAAGGTGCAAACCTCATAAAAAATTGACTGTACAGTACCAAGAATATGGATTGCATCTAACACAATAAGATAAATCACTGTCCTAAGTAAGGCTCAAGGTACTACTGCAGTGTACATACAGAGGTCAGAGAAGGGAATGTGAATCACTATTTACTGAAACCCACTCAGGAAACTACCATATCTCTGTGGCCTGCCTCTCACAGAAGGCAGGCTGCTGTCCCTCAGATCATTATCAACATTTTTTTTTTCTTCTTTGCCTTTATATTTTTGTAAATATTAATTTGACAGTGAGAAATCCTGAAAGTCACAGTTCAAGGACGGAACAGTTGCAGAGTTACTGCAATAAAGAATACATCAATTTGTCGCCCTGAAAACTCAGCTTCTGAGCTTGCTGACATGGTTTTCTAAAGACTTTCCCAGGACAGTAACTGTAAACATAGATATGTGTACATTTTTTCTGTTACACATCTTGTAATGGGCATCTCTCATGGCCAGTGCTATCCAATCCCTGTCCGTGGTCAGAAGCCTATAAATCCTGGGAGGAAAAATAAACTCTCTCTCTTCTTTTCACCACACCTTGACCTGTGACCGTGTTATCTATTCATCTTCAGTGGCAACATCTGGTGATCTCCGACGTGTCTTGCACGTGTGTTACAGGGTACTATCTAGCCTGTGGCTATGGCTGGTTTTGGGGTCTCTCCTATGGAGGGCCTGGTTATGGAAATATGGTGTGTGGTGTTTGATCAGAGGGGGATTGATGTTTCGTATGCTGACTTTCAGCGATTGTGTGAGTATGGGAGAATTGAGCAGTTTTTCCCTGTGGTTGAAGCGATTTCTTCGCAGTTGGCTTGGGACGCTTTAGGCAATTCCCTGATCGAGTCTCTACTGGTCAGTTATGAGTCCCAGGTGCTCCGGCTGCTGGGGATCTGGCAAAGCTGTGGCAGCGTTCTGAGGTCGGATCCCGAGGTCGGCTCCCCCGGGTTTGCCGGGGCCCCCAGTGGGTTGAACGGGCGCGCGTGGGACTGGTAGGCGTGACCCCGCCTTGGCCGGCGCCCCAGCGGTGTAAGCCTGAGGTGGGGTTGGATCCCTGCCAGCAAGCTGTCAGGGGTGCCACGGAATGGGGGGGGNCATCATTATTCTTGCTGGTCATCAGTATTTTTGCTGACCACCATTATTTTGAGTCTGGTTTCCTTTCTTCTGCAAATGGTCAGTATTGATTACAGTCCGGGCCCCTTATCCTTCCTTTGAGGGCAGCTGGGCTTCATATCTTCTGCTGATAACAGTTTGGGCTCTATTGTTCTCCTGATAACAGCTCGGGCCCCACTGTTTTTGCCCTCTGGGGTTTCCTTGCTTTGTACCTAGGAAATTCTTTTAAGCTTAAAACTTGTTAGCAAGAAGAAAGGACATACATAGCTAAAAAGTATTTAACATATAATATTCATCTTAATACCTGTGAAAGCCAATATCACAATATAGATTTATAACACTGTTGTCCTATAGAGACCTAGGTATTTATCATGCAGCTTCCTCTGTAGGAGCTATAGGAAAACTTTAAGGGAAAGTATTTTCTTTCCTTAATAAAGTTTATAAATGTTAAAGATTATAAAATAATATAAATATTAAGGTTTCCGTAATAAATGTAAATTTGTTAATCACCTCCCTATGCCTAAGATGGACTTGATGCAAAGAAATTTGGATAGAGAGCAATTGGTTACTAAAAAAATGTGCTGTGATTAACTTTAGGCAGTGGCATTGCTTGCTGCTGAACTAAATCATGTTTACACAGAGTCACCTGTTTTGTTTGGGCAAACTTTGCAGAAATTATTAGGAGAGTTTACTCCACCCTCAAGAGTTGTTGCAGGATGCGGATGTTAAACAAAGTCTTGCTAAAAGAATTTTAGTGAAAGAGCATGAGGGAACACGAAGTCTGTTGTCTATCTTTCTAAACTGGTAAACCTGATAGCCAGAGGCTGGCCCCACTGTCTGCAGAGCAGTGCAGCCACAGCTCTGATGGTGGCTGAGGCCCGAAAGCTGACAAACGGGAGGGTATGAATGTCAAAGTTTCACATCAGATTAAAGGTTTGTTAACTGAGAAAGCCTCCAAGTGGGGACCAGCGTTCGGTAATTATGGTATGAATTTTGTTTAACACAACAGGAGGATTTAGAATTTAAAAGCCGAAAAGGGTTTAACCCAGCCTCCTGTTTGAACAGCCCTGAAGTGGGAGGCCAAAAAAGCCCCATGACTGCATTCAGGTAGTAGATCTCCAGACTCAGGGAGGGAAAATCTACAGAGATAGTCCCTGGCCTGAGGGAGAAAATGTGTTTATTGATGAGACTTCAAGGGTGATAGAAGGGAAAGGATTTATAGGATACTCTATTGTAAATGTAAAGCAGTTAAAGGAAAGGCGGAGGTTACTGCCCACCTGGTCAGCTCAGACAGCGGAGCTGTGTGTGCTTGTGAAAGCCTTTGAGTTATACTGGGACAAGACAGCGAATGGTTTTAGTGATTCTAAATATGCATATGAGGTGATGCACACATTTGGGAAACTGGATAGAAAGAGGTTTGTTGACTTGCTAGGAAAAACGGTTCATAAGAACCTCCCCT